AACATACATACATACGTACGTACGTACATGTATATATATATATATTATATATACTTACATCTCAGCTGTGCATATGGTAGAGTAGAGGCCGGCTGCCACATCGTACTGCTCCGCACGGTACAATATCTGTGCCTTGAGCTCAGACAGGTCGTAGTCGGGAGTGGGTTGGGCTGAGTTGGCATCTACGATAGACAGAGCCTCATCCAGGCGGAACAGCCGGTACAGGCAGTAAGCTCTCTGTAAACCAAGTTTACAACAAAGTTTATAAGCAAGTTTACAAACAAGTTTATACACGGGATATGAATGTTCAATTTTGAATGTCCGGCGATGGCAGACCTTTTCACTCGGATACATGAAAACTATAGGCTGACGCGGTCCTATATACATTCACCATCAACTATAAATAGAAGTCTCGTTCAAGCAAACCGTAGGAGAAGATCTGTACGCTTTATGTAAACCACGTATATACAAGTGTCTTAATCAACCACGTTTGAAGTTTTATAAACCACGTTTATATACGAGTCGGTTGATGTTACGATACAGAAAGGCAATGAGCCTCATGCGAACAAAAAATGTCCAACCAGTTCAAAGATTGGTTGTATGTAAATGAAATACGTCTGCATGACATACGTTATATGCACAGGAATGAGAACGATTGGGAATATGTTATACAGGCATGTCAACAATTACCTACTTCCTAATAGCGAATGCGCGGAGCACCATCCTCCCTACCTATGTCCCTAGCTACACTAAAGTGGTCTGTGTGTAGCTATTTCAGTATTTGCTACAACACGAGTGCCGTATAGGTCATACACTCTACTCACAAGCATACTCATACCTACAAACAAGCACACCCTGCACCCGAATTAACGGTTTTAGGGCTGAAAACCCCCTAACCCTACATGCTACTGGTCACGTATACATACCACACCACACAGAACAGGCCCACGCACCCCACATACTTGAAAGACGAAATGATTTGCCCACTTTGCGTTGGAGTCCATGAGCTCCAGCGCCCCCTCGAATTGATTCAGATTCACCAGACAGTACAACTTAGCCACCACCACCTCGACATCATCAGGCGTTTTCAAGGACACTGTTATATAGGAGAGAAGGATGGCGTTAGAGCTAGCTTGGGATTGGATAGGAAAGATGTACAAACGGTAGAGATTGAGATTGATGTATCGCCATGGGTGATTACTGAGATTTTTCAGGTTGGGCATGCAATACCACACCAACATCTGTAGATTACAGTATATATATGTATATATATATATATGGATCGAAAGATGAATGGTGTAGAGAATAAATATGTAGATAGAACAAAAATATAACTACGAATACCCATGATAAATAACCGTGTACGTTCTAATGACAGGATAAACGTATACACGTATAGCTATAAATATATATATATATATATGTAGGTATATATACATAAAATATATATTTGTATATCTATATGTATGTCTGTAAATCAATATTCGTACTTAGCA